TGATAATGGTTTTTAAATCAATTTTTTCATAGTTATATTCTTAAATAGTTGTTGCCTTCTAAAAAAAGTATGATTCACAACACTTAGATATTTCTGCTTATGATGATAATGAATTGTTTATATACTGCATTTGTCATATGTAAACATTTGTTGTGTTCTTAGATAAACATGATTCAAAACACATATTTTTCTGTTTTTGATGATAAAGAATTCAGTCATGCTATATACACATTAACTTTTACATTTGACATGATATTCATCATATTAATTGATTTTTATAATATCCTTTCACATCACTTGTCAAATTTTTGACACGGGATGGATGTCAACTAGAATGTACAAGTTGTTCAATTCTAAAGAAATTTGTTATTTTCTTAGAAGAATATGATTGAAAAGACGCATTTAAGTTTTGTTCTTGATGATAATGAATTGTACATCATATATAATTCGTCATGCATACAAATTTCTTGTGAAATTAATTTTATTTTGTGGGGTCGATCATATTTCAACGAAAATTATACAAAATTATATAATTTTAACATTCTAGAATGATTGGTAAAGTTGGGTTTAGTTCTTTATGTACTAGAAATGGTAATTATTCAAATTACAGATAGATTTCATTTTTTTGGTAGTCAAATTCAGCATCTGGAATGGCAGTCCAAGATGAGTGCAAACTGAAATTTCTGGAATTAAAAGCAAAAAGAAACTACCGTTACATAGTATTCAAGATTGAGAATCAACAAGTTGTTGTGGAGAAACTTGGGAATCCTCAAGACAGTTACGATGATTTCAGTGCCTCTCTGCCTGCAAATGAATGTCGTTATGCAGTATATGATTTCGACTTTACTACTAATGAAAACTGCCAGAAAAGCAAAATTTACTTCGTTGCTTGGTATGCTACTCATATTGCTATTTTTGTTTGATATTGTTTAGTTTTGTCCACTCTTACATCGACACATTTGGTATGTTAGACGGATCAAGATTGTACATAATTATAAAAGAGATGCACATGACCGTGTTAATAAATAAATTTAATTAAATACCGAAGCAATAACCAAGATATAATGTTTGGGCTACTTCTTTTAACAATGTTGAACTTTTAAAATGAAACTTCAAGTCTTCATAAATTTTTTGTTTGTTGTCGTGTCTAGTATAATGTAAACTTAAGTCATGTGTTTGTAAGTTAAGATGGACTCGTGAAGACATGTTTGATATTCTAGAGTCAAATATCTTATTCAATTCTATCTAGTTTAATATACTTATGGTAAGCAAAATTAAAGAAGAGTAACACGTGAAATGTTTGTATGTTATCTTATCCAATTTGCGGAGTAAGCATGTTTGAGAGTTTTTTATAAACTATTTAAATTATAATGAGTGGCTGATAAGATGATATTATTTGTGGTACAACGAAATATGTAGATTAAAATTGATNATTTGTGGTACCACGAAATATGTAGATTAAAATTGATTTGACCGTTTATAAACAAATTATAAAAAGCAGCCAAAATAAGTTATTATCTATTTAAGGTAAATTTACACTATACATAAAACACATAAACATCTTACACATACATCTCCTTTAATCTTATCCAATCCTAAACAATATTTCACTTGTGTCTATATAGCACGATATAGATAGCAAATGCATGTAAATAAATTCACATGAATTTTGGGATGACTTGGGAATGGTATGTTTCGTATGAGAATTGAATACGTTTGAATATTGTTATAAAAGTATATACATTAGATTCTTGTTCATTACATCAAACATGCTCCTTTTATTTTCTTAACCTAATCACTAAATGGAAATATGAAATTTCAGGTCGCCAGATACCTCTAAAGTGAGAATGAAAATGGTGTATGCAAGCTCAAAGGACAGATTTAAGAGGGAATTGGATGGAATTCAAGTTGAACTGCAAGCAACTGATCCTAGTGAAATGAGCCTTGATATTATAAAAGCACGTGCACTCTGAGAGTGTGTTTGTCTTTTCTGAAATGCTACAAACGTACTTAAAAACTCGCTTCTTTGATAGTAAGAAGGGTCTTACCCACAAAAGAACACCAACATTTTAGCCAAGTTTGACGAACATGCTCAGAATATCCTAGTTCTTTTCATTCTTAAGCCTTCTCTAATTTTAAATATTCTGGCTTGTATTTTTCCCTTTTTGATTGCAAGATAATGAAATTCTTGCTGTAATTTACACTAGGTCATTCTATAATTTTTCATAATTAACAATGGTCTTGTACTTCCATTTGATTATGGAAATTTTGCAAACTTATTCTTCCTAATTATGGGCACATTACATGCACGAATTTGTAAGCTTAAATGTGTTAAAAGAAACATTTTATTTCTTTTATTTTCTTATTCATACTTCAAGTTAGTTGTGCGAATAATGTGATGCGTTATCTCCATTAACATTTTGAAAAAAATAAAAAAGACAAAACAAAAGATCCAAAAAAATAAAGTTTTGATGCACTCTCTCTCTTTTACCTATGAACGTAATACCACAAATGAAAAATAACCAAGATACAAGGTTTCGATCCCTATCTACATTTTTGAACTAAGTAGCTTTTATGCACCATCTCTTAACAACCTTTTTGAAATAACTATAAAGATTTGTTGAAGTTTCAACCTCTTTCTTGCCTAAAAACTTTCGTGTTTTGGTTTTCGATTGGTTCATAAGTTCTAGGGAAAATTGCAGCAGCGATTCCAAACATTTCATTAAGTAACATATTTTGTCAAAACCTTTCATTTGTGCCACCCACGGTATCGAACCTTTCAAAATGTCGCAGCTAGAGTCCAAGTAGATGAAAACTGTTAGTTTGATCGTTAGTTGACCAAAAATAAAAAGTTTGACAGGATGTTGACTAATGTTATAAGGGTAAAAATGTAATTTTATATTTTACATATAAAATAACTAAAACAAAAGAATTAAGTCAAAAAACCAAAAAGGGGAAAAATAAGAAAACACTATTCATTGTCTTCCTACACCCCCACACCCCACCCACCCCAAAACCAAAAATCAAAAACCACTACTTTCGCCGTTCCCCCGCCACACCTCCACCTCCTCCGAGTTCCCCCTTCGAGTTCCTCCTCCACAATAATCTTTGTCACATTACCAGGTCAATGCGCAGAGGCGTTGTTGGAAATTCGATGACCAAGAGTTCGTCGACTACGAGGAGGATCTGATGATGGTAATGACAGACGATGAGGAGTTGAGGATGTGTATAGGCAATTAGAGAGGAGTGAATAGTATAAGCTTGAAGAAACCGACTAAAATCTAGGATTTGGTTTTTTAATAAAATTAAGGGAAAAGTGCAGCAGCGTTGGAGGTGGGTGTGTGGGAGGGAACATCGGAGGTGGTGGTTTATGATTTTTGGTTTAGGGATGGGTGGGGTGAACAGTGTTTTCTTCTTTTTCTTCTTCGACTTAATTCTTTTGTTTTAGGTTTTTTATATGTAAAATATAAAATTACTTTTTTACCCTTTTAAAATTAGTCAACATTTGGTCGAACTTTTAATTTTTGGTCAACTAACGGTTTTCATCCACTTGAACTCCAGTTGTGACATTTTAAAAGGTTTGGTATCTTGTGTGACACAAATGAAAAGTTTGGACAAAATCTGCTACTTAATGAAATGTTTGGTACCGCTGCTGCAATTTTCCCTAAGTTCTATGCAAAATCGTAAAGGGAACATAAGCCCCTTTTTGGTTACATATCACTGGCTTCATTGTTTGTGGGTCTGAGTTTCATTGATAGGAAGAGTCTCGACAGCCAATGCATATATTTGGTTTGCTGGACATCGGAGGCCGAGATGCAAGTGTTTGGTGACACTTGAGCAAGCAATGAGGTCCTTCACTCCTTTTGTGATTGACGTAGAGTCAAGATGGACTAATTATTTCAATATGTAACAAGAATGTGCGATTAAAAATTAAGAAAATTTTTATATCTACGTACAAAGTTATTTTATTGAGAGAGCATGAGATTGAAAATGAGGTGAAAAATGAGTTTTAAAGAAACTGTATTGAGCGTGGTCTAAGTAAGAAAAAATAAAATCTTATTCATGATAGTATACAGTTTCATCATCGAATACGTGCAGACGACATATTTGCAAATCACATGAAAGAGGGAGAGAAAAAAAGGTGTCATATTCTTTGATGGGGAAAATGTTTATATTCTTCCCATCACCTTAGCTGTTAGATTGCAATTCTTTCCTGCATTAAACATTTCCATGATTTTCACACCAGTGCTATATCTGAACATACTCGCTTGTTTAGCTAAACTTAAAAGTAAGACAAATTAATTTTTGAGTAATATTTCATTTCTGCACGGTCTTTAGATAAGTTATTCTTTTTTATTTATACTTAAAAAGAGCTATTTGCTTTAATAGTTGTTGAACATATGAAATAATTGAATAT